TCAAAAGATTGAACAAAGCAACAAAGCTTGAGGAAGCCGCTGTCATCGTTGTCCGAGTGTCATCTAGACACTTCAGTTTTTTTCAACGGAGACGCCAAGTTTTTCCAATCCGCCAAATAATGAGTCAAGTAAAGGAACACCATTCTTTTCGAACCTTCACCGTTTTCGAACAAACAGGGGGAACACCATTCTTTTCGAACACCCTGAATGCCGACTTTTTTTATTGCCTGCTAAGAAAAGAGTTGTCTATCTCTGTAGAACAACCCTTCTCGAACAACTTCTTCAAGATTGATGGTTGGGCGGATTCCTCGACATCAATGTTTTTCGTTGAAGGAGTTCTTGATATTCTTTAGTGAGAGAGAACAATCAAAGCAAATCAAAAATTACAATATCCCGCCGGTAGGCATTGAACTGTTTATACCCACCGGCAGTGGAAGAAGCGCGTTTGAGGTCTCAAGAATTCAAAACTTGCTCCGATACCATGTAGAAATTAATAAGAAAGAAAATAGTTTGTATATTGAATTGGCTTATGATTACAAAGGTCTAACCCTCTTTATATAGGAAGAGAGTAAAGCATATAAGTAAACTTCTATTCCTACCATATTTCTATTCCTACTAAAACAAGAAATAAACAAACTAGGAAAGATACTAAATCGAATCCCGAAGGGATTTAGTTTCCTTCTTCGATCCGGCTTCCTTCTTCTGTTGCCAGATTCAGTTTCTTTCTTCGATCCAGCTTCCCAACATAATACTTTTTTAATTTGGCATTTAATCAAAACGGGAAGAATTTTCATAAACGGAGGAAGTATATTTTTTTGTGCAAAGTGAGTATGTTAGGTGTTCCATATCACAAAACAATTCATATGTAAAGAGATTGAGGAAGGTAGACGTCAAGATCATAGGGATCGGAGTTGGGTGAGTGATCAGACAGGAAAACAAAAGGTTTGAGGCAATGCAAGGAACACATTTCACGTAGGGGAATCTAAACTTTAACATAATCTTTTTCTAAATATCATCAGTCTTATTTACTTTAACATTTAGCAATAAAAAATTCTAAAATATCTTACTTTTGAGAAAATGACCCATTATACAATACAAGTTGAATAAGATATTACTAAAAACAAGGAAGATGGACCAAAGTAGGAGTAAAAAAGTTGTCATATCCCAAAATAGGAGTTGAAATTTAAACTCACCTAAATAAGAGTAATTAACATAACAATGACCCTAATTTTTTTACTCCAAAAACAATGACTCATGCATCTCCCAAAACTAAACAATGACTAAATTCCAAAACTCCTTATTCGTACATGTGCTGAATTTTCAATCCCGGAGTTCGGTGCACTGTTCTAAGCCGCCTCATGCATGAATTTTCAAATCATTTGTTTCCAATTAGGACCTTCACTGCTCCTCTTCCATGCAATTTCCTCTTTATTTAATTATTTTTTTAAAATTAATTATAAGTTTTCATACTCTTTTACACACCCATACACTCCAAGCCTCTAAGTCTCAACCTCCGACAACTCTAGAAATTAGGAAAAATTCAGTAATGTCAAAAATGTAATTTAATTTATTTTAACACCTTATCATTTGCTTAGAAGACTCTAGTGCCTCTTCAACTCTTCCATGGGAACATAATGTTGTAACATAATGACCATGTGAACATTGCCCTTGCTTTACCAAGTAATTCCACAAACTGCCGCCCAAATCAATCGTATGATTATTAAAGAAGAACTTTCCATGTTCCGTGTTGTTGGCAAGAACTCTTGTTCAGTCATCTTGATTTATAGTAAATTGTTATTGAATCATTAACAAAACTGAATCGACAAAAAAAAATAACAAATTTGAATGTAAACAAAATTAATTCAATAACAAAACACACCCAAAACTTCATCAATAAAAAATGAATCAATACCTACATACAGAAACTTAGTAAATTGCTAAATTAAAATGTCCATACAGTGTCAAAAAAGACCACATATGTCACATGTAATCATATAATAACAATCATGTTAATGTATAAAGTCATATATGCGAATGCATAATGCTAAAAAAAATAACAAATTTGAACGTAAACAAAATTAAATATAATAACAACCCAAAACTTCATCAACAAAAATGAATCAATACCTTACATATAGAAACGTAGTAACTTGTTAAATTAAAATGTCCATACAGTGTCAAAAAAGACCACATTAAATGTCACATGTAATCATATAATGACAATCATGTCAATGTATAAAGTCATACATGCGAATGTATAATGCTAAACAAATTAAATAGATAATGTCAACCTTGACATTGTATAATATCATTCTTGGTAATGTATAATGAAAGATATATCAATGTATAATGTTAAATATCACATATATTAATGCATAATGTCAAAAAGGGGTAAATGTCAAGTAACTCTACTTTTTGCCATAGTTTTTTTTAATGAGTATTGGGAGTCCAACTTGGTTTGTGCACCCAACTTGGTTTGCGCGGCTAACTTGTTTGTGCGGCCAACTTGAATTGGGAATTGTTTGTGCGGCTAGGAGGGTTAATCAAAACATATACTCCGTATTTAATTAATTACTCCTATTTAAGGGAGTTTAAGTTTGAATTCCTATTTTGAGAATATGATTCATGTTTTACTCCTATTTAGGGAGTTTTCTTTAAAAACAATTTAAATAAGTTTTGAAATAAACATTCACTATCCAACACTTATTGTTAATGACTAGATTCGTACAGTCATTCAATTCGTATAATCAGTCATTATTCAAGACTTGTTGCTAATGAATGCATATATGGTAAATCATACAGAAATATGTACCATAAAGATCAGAGAATAAGACATATTGGGCCTTATTGAGGAAAACATTTTATCGTTTAGTCCTATATGAAGCAAATTTTTCTTAAGTATCACAAGTATTATTTATTATTATTATAATATACTTTCTAGTTTTTATTAGTTGAGTGAAATTATAAGTTCTTTTGTGACTTTCTTTTCTATTCAATTCTTTATCTCGATATGATGCATTGTTGAACTGAGAGGACTAGTAATTAGATCGTTAAAATTCATATCAATTAGTGCTTTCATTTCTTTGGAACTCCAGAAAAATAAAAAAGAGGCTCTACGTATCATGAACCTCAAAGCCGTGGGAGAAGAGCACCAAATTGATACAAATCGTGATACAATTATATCAGGATATGGAAGAAGTCAAGCGTCTTCAAGCTCCACGAAGAAGAGAGAAGAGAAATCAAATATGAAAAATTTAAAGCGTTGATAGACTTTCAAAGAAAGAAAAGAAGATTGAGAATAATTCTTGTATTGACTGATCGATTATTATTCTACGAGATACATACGGAGTATCTGTTTATACTTTATAGGAAATAGAAAAAAAACTTTAACCCTAATCATATTAAAACTATGAAATCTAATCATGTCTGTTCAACAAATGTATCGAGGTAAAGAAACGAAAAGATACGACAGAGCTTATAATTTTGTTTACCTAATAAAAACTAGATTACAATAATAAATATTACTACATCTTACAATATTAAATATGGTAATTTACCTAAGTAGGACTAAAAGATAATGACTTTCTCAATATAAGACCATATGTTATTATTTCCCAATGTAGGACCATTGGTGATTATCTATTAGTCGTTATTCAACTAAATGTCCAGCATCACTTGACATTATTCTTCTCACTAGACATTATTAAGTCTTATTTAGGGAATAAAAAAGTTTAAGTCCTACATTGGGAAATGACTTATATTTTAGTCCTATTCAGTGCAAATTTCACTATTAAATATTATTGCATCTTTGATTAAATGAGACTAATGGAGTTACTTTAAGATCATATTCATTCCTTAAATAAAAATTCATTCATTCAATCATTCACATCATTACGACATCATCTATCTTTCAATATTTTGTTTTTGAATAGACACTCACAACCCGTTTCATTCATCCATCCATTCATTCAATTATAAATGGGTCCCATTTTCAATTTACTTTATTCATTATTTTAAATAAGTCATACTCCGTATTATATTTTAAAATAATATTAATTTTTTATTACAACGTAATAAATGAAAAATAAACCACAAAAAATATTAAATTTAATGAATTTGTATTTAAAAGAATCAAATTAGAGAAGATACACAACAATTTAATATAAATTAAATGAAATTAGAATTACTAGATAAAAATAATTTTTTCAAAAATAAATTAGAAAAACATTTATTGTTAAATAATAAAAGACATTGCATTAATAGAAATACAACCACCATGTTAAAATTTAATCAATTATTATTGTTCTAGTGTGTCCAAATATGTTCAAATATAATTATTATATTAGTTGTAATTAATTATTATAATAACTATTCTTATTATAGTTAAATAGTGGTTATATAAATTATAATTTATTATAATAATTAAATTAGTTATACAATTAAATTCATTGATTATATTCATTTGATTACTTATTTATTGTAATATAAATATTTATATAATTGAAAATATAAAATCAAAGAAATGGACGGTTTTTATTACAGAGTATAATATAAATATTTTTATAATGGAAAATATTTGTCATCATCCATGGTGTTTGCTCTAATGCCTATGTAGGCTATGTCAAAATGGATAAATTTTAACTATTAATGAAATAAAAGTTATATTAAATAGTGATACATGAACATATATAATAATTTAATTAAACTTTTCTTGTAAAATAGTTTTAAAGTATTATTCTAATTAATTGATATGCCATGTATTTCTTTTTTTTTTTGAAGTATATGCCATGTATTTCAATTTATCTATAAATTAAAGATCAATCACGATTAATTGTAAAAAGTCAAAATTAGTCGAATAATCTGGGACGGGAAGTAAATAAAAACGCATTCGTGTACTATACACATGGAATCATGCATTGAAGTAAATGAGATCTAGCTATTATATATGCCCTCATTAACTTATTTGAGAAAATTTAAAATAAACATGAATATATTAGTTTATTCGTGTATGAGCTTAATTGTTATAATTCTCCCAAAATCATTTCAAGTATGTTGGGTTTCATGTCATGATTTCGAGTAGAACCTAGTTTGTCTAAGCTCAATTCGAAGTGGATCGCTGTTGTAACATTTTTACTCCCATGTACCTGCATCACAACATATAAATAAATCAAATTGTGAATAAGACTCACTTAATTAATTTAAGAACAAATTTTGTAAATAATCCATAACTATAGTAATTTTTTTATAATTAGTCTTTAATTCTAAAATATTACATATATAGTCATTGATTTTTAAAGGTATTTTGATATTTGATTTTTGAGAGACTATATATATGGAAAAACAATTCTATCATTTTTTACTTTAAAGACTATTTATAAAATAGTATCAGTCTTGAGGGACGCAGGTAGTATATATATATAGTTAGTTTCTACTCTAGTAATAATAATTACCTTCCAAACATCATGATAGTTGCCTGAGGACTTATTCCAGGGGCGCTAGAAAATGTGGAGGCATCAACTACTCGTAAAGCATCAACACCGATCACTTTGTAATTGCGGTCGACAACGCTATCCACTCGGCAACCACCGTGGAAGTTCCACGCGCTAAGCACGTTGTCAACACAAAACTGCTCCAACGAAGCAGACTCGAGGTGGTGTTTTGGCCTCAAGTTGACGGGAAATGCCGATACCAAGTCAAGGAGAGATTCAAACGAGGTTGACGGGTTTCGCAACGAAGCAAAGGACTCCGACTCGAAGACTTTTCTAAGGACTTCCATGCCTCGCACACACGTTTGGACGTCCCTCGGGTCTTGGAAGTAGTTAAAGGTGACCGTTGGGTTATCATTTGGGTCCTTGTTCTTGAGTTCCATGTGCCCTTGGGAGAAAGTTTTGTTCAACTTTGAAAAAAAGATCCCTCCTTGCATCTTCATATCCGAAAAAGACATGTCAACGCTAGCTTGAGTGAGTGCTTGTACGGCTTCGGGGACAAGAGACAATCCACTGATTGTTTCTATGTATGTCCCCGAATGAGTCACGCCCAACACATCAGCAAATGCCGTCTCAATGGGCCTGATGGATGGAACTAGGATTCCACTCAATGGGTAGTCAGCCATCTGTTGCCCAACCATTTGTTGGTCCATTATCACGTCTATTCCGTGGGCTTTGAGATGATCAAACGGCCCAATACCACTAAGCATCAATAGTTGTGGGCTTCCAATTGTACCGGCGGAGATAATGACCTCGTTCTTGGGCCCTCCATTCAAAAGCGCAGTGTGACCATTCCCTTTCGAGTCTTTGAAGAAAACTCCATATGCTGTGGGCTTCTGGCTCAACGAAGGCCTCTTAAACAAGATTTGGTGAGCCACGGCATGGAAATAGAGAGTGATCTTAGTGTCATCGGCATACTCCAATAAATCCGCAGCACTGTGCCTATGCCCATTCTCGTCAAATAAAGAATTCCCTATTTTGGTCCCCTCCAAGTGGTCATAAGTCCCTCCGTTGTAGGGCACCACCCCGGCCTCCACCAACCCGTCCTTCACCGTCGTCTGCCATTGCAACAACGTTTTCACACGGAAAGTCAACTTCCTCTCCACCCATGTATATGACTGGTTGACTAGATGCGGGTCCCACCCTGCCTCAGCCACTTCCTCACGGCTGGCCCTAGAGTACAAACCCCCATTAATGGCCGAGCCGCCACCCAGAATGCGTCCTCGAAATAGTCGCACGCCATCCCTTGACACGAACGATTGTGCGGGTGAGGCGGATGAGGTGTCCATAAATGTTTTTACGAAACCACTTTGGTGTGTTACATTTGGGTTGTCGTAAGGCAGGCCGCCCCTCTCCAAGAGGAGCACTTTCGCGGAGGCGGATAGCGTAGCCGCCAGCCCACAACCGGCAGCTCCACCTCCGATGACTATGTAGTCGTAGTGCCCCGCTGACAGAGATGCCGAGCTTGCATCTTTTGCAAAAGTGCCGTAGGGATTTTCTTCAATCAAAACACAAAAAAGCTAATTGTACGTACTACTCGATCTGTTGTTTGTGTGGATAAAAAATATAGGAGTATATATTGAGTTATAAGGTAGAGTTAGTTCCTATCGAGAATATTCTTTTAATTTGATTTTTTTAATCAAACACATTAAATTTTAATCATCAATCCAATAAAAGTTGTATTAGGTATACAAAAATGTAGATCTCATTAGATTTATCTTATAGATATAATCAAAAATTTATTTCAATGTATTAACTAATATGTAATGTCAATTTAATGTGTGTAACTGATAACTCAATTTCTTCCAGCTTGACTCAACAAAGTCAAATAGGATTAATACTACACTCCGTGAGTGAGGCAATATATCATATCAATAGCTTCATTAAAAAATGGGTATTCAAAATATATTATGTTTGTCATATGAAACACCTTCCATCTCAACAGGTAATAAAAATATTTTATTTTATCAAATGATAAATGAAAACATACATATAAATATACATTATTTAGAGGTCAGAAGATTATTTTGAGATGGAAGGAGTATTTATCTATCAAGATTAATGGTTGTATGACATTTAATTTTGAATGATGAAACTATTGCATTGAAGACATTGATCAATAATAGCATCCTTATCAATTTTTTTGAGTAAATTTCATAATTGGTCCTTTATAAGAGTGGATTTTGTTATTTAGTCTTATAATATCAAATATTACTCTGGTGGTTCATCTTTTATATGTACCTTTCCATAAATAGCCCATTTTTGATCTTCAATCATGTTGGTATTAATTTGAGAGCTAAAAGTATAATTTCACAATGATAATATATCTTTCTTGTCATACGCAATTTAAAAGCCGCTCCTAATGCGTCGTTTGTGAATTACAGTCGCTTTCTACTATAACCATAGTCTACATATGTGGTTATTTGTCAGAATCCTAGCTCAATATCATAGTCATTATTTTTATGTTATCCGTCTAACCAATATCAGAATACGTTACTGGACATAAAGTTGATGTGAAATTATACTTTTAGCCTTGAAATTAACACCAATATGGCAGAAGATAAAAAAGGTCAATTTGTGAAAAGGCACCCATAAAAGAAGGATTACGGAGGCAATATTTAGTACTCCCTCAGTCCTCCAGTTTTTGTCCACTTTTGATTTTTGGAACTGTTCATCTAAGCACTTTGACTCATCAAATTCTCTCAATGTGTAAGCCTAAATATAGTCATGTGTGATCTTGTTTGATTTGTCTTAACATATAGATTATTAATATATAATTTTTATAATTTTTTAATATACAAGTTACAAGATAAAATGGATTAAAGAAGTGCATTGGATGGTGTGTAAAAATGAAAGTGGACAAAAACTAGGGGGACGGAGGGAGTAATAGAGGACTAAATATGAGAACCCTCTTATTATAAAGGACCAATAATGGAATTTACTCTTTTTTAACGAAAACTATTTTTGTTGCAAACAATATCTAGTAGATACTCCCTCCGTCTCATAAACACTTTCTCTTTTTTTGTCTCACAAATTCTTTCTCATTTCTATTGAAAAAACCACATTTACTCTTACTAATTCTTACAATACTTATCAGATCATACCTTTTTACTAATAATCAACACATTACACCTTACTTTTAACCATTACATCAAAGGTATTTTGGAAAATCAACACAAAATATCATTTTCTTAATTTTTCTAAAGGTCAAAATAGAAAGAACTTTAAGAGAAGTATGCAATAAAGTACCTTTCTCTGCAAGAGAAGATACAAGAACTAGGAGAAAAATACCAAGAGAAGGTACAACCGAAGGAAAGCACCCCCTAAAGGACATCATAATATATTTTGAACACAATATATAAATGCTACCAAACATGGAATTAATTTGACAACTCTGATCAATTCTTGTCGAGTGTGAATTAATTAGAATAGATTATTTCTTTGATTTATAAGGACTGATTTATATATACTACGCATATAGGCTAGGAGAAGACGATAGTTAGGTGATGGAATCAAGTTATTAGGTGTTCCATTTCACAAAAAAAAAAAAACATTTCATAACTTGGGAGAGACAGAGAGGAAGGTTGAAGTCTACGTCATGGCGACGGGAAGATATACTCCCTTCGTCCCAAATTTAATTACAATTTGGGATTTACGAAGCAAAATCTTTCATATTTTGAAATTATTTTGTTTGCAAATTGATATATTGATAAAAAATGAAAATTACGAGTACATATTGAAAAAATTTCATCAAAAGTTCTACAAAAGATCTGGTATAGAACTAAAAATTACAAATTACACCATTAAAAGCTATATACATCGTAAAAAAATTTTTAAAAACAAGATATCACAAAAATGTTTTACCTTATTTAATGATCAATGAAAATAGGCATATTTACAAACACATAAGTTGTCGAGAAATTCTAATAGTGAGACAAAGAATTAATTTGGGATGAAAAGAGTAAAAAAAATATACTTATTCGGAGCATATGAATATGTAATTTTAATTAAAAGACCACATTTTATATTGGCCACCAACAGTGCTAAAATGATAAACTTAAGTTTGATTTCTGATAACTGCATTAGAAGACAATTATACTAAGCATGCGGCCTTTGTAAGTATCAGGTGTAAATTTCATCTTTTACTAGCCAGTGATTATAATTCAATTTAATTTATTTCAAGTGACTGTCTAGTTGATTACGATATGGCCTTTGAGGAAGGGACTCATCCTACTTTTTTTACTCCATCCATCTTGAACGTAGAAATAATCTTTACGAACATTCCAATCACTAGATATATCTAAGGGCTTAACTCGGGCTTAAAAAAGGTTTTGGAAATTTTCTAGCAAAACTTCCGGCGACAGTTACTCTCAACTCCGGCGACCTCACACCCTAAGGACAACACAACTGCACTTCTCTCTCAGCAAGGAACACAACAGAAGGAAAGATGGAAAGATTTGGTGAGGAATTGGAGTGAGTAAGAGTAGCTTATACTTCCTACGTCCACAAATAAACTTCTCGTTCACTATTCACAGGGTCAAATTTTATTTTCTTTGTTGGCCTATTTTCGTCGTCACCCATTTGATAAAATAATGTAGTCATGTCATCTCTAGTTTTGTAGATCTTTTGATATAGTTTTTTAATATGTAATTTTTATTTTTAAATTTTACACCATTTTTCATATAAAATGATTTGAAAATAACTTCAGTCAAACATCGTAACGCGTAACGGGAAATTTATTTGTGGACGGAGGGAGTATAAGAGCAGTGGTACTACTCGTAACGCCGAGCAGCGTTATTGGGATTTTGACGCCTGGAGGGCGTTAAACACCGCCCCTCCCCCGTTAAAGGTGTGTTAAAATTGCTGCGTCAAATTTTTGACGCGATTGGAAAGCGTTATAACGCCTTCTTCCTTCTTTTTTCTCCCTCTTTTTTCCTCTTTTCTTCTCTATAAATTAAATTAATTTTTTTTAAAATTCAACACAAATACAAATCTATCTCTATCTATCATCTTTTTTTAAAAAAATTATTATTTAAGTATTTTTTTATTTTTTCATGAATGTAATTTTTTAATTTAATGAATGCAATTTTTTTATTTAATGAATGTTGTTTTTTATAATCAATGTATTTTTTTTATTTAATGGATGTATTTTTTTATTTAATGAATGTAATTTTTTATTTAATGAATGTAATTTTTTATAATGAATGTATTTTTTTAATGAACTATTATCATTTCAATTCTTTTTAATAATTAAATAGTTAAAGTTTATTAATTTAATTTTAAAAAATGTGTATTTAAAATGTAAAAATGAAGGTTTGAAGCCCCAATTTGAAGCCCCGGGGCTTCAAACCCATTTTCACTGAAACTGTGAGGTAAGTTAAAGCTGACGTGACAGAGAGAAGGTTTGAAGCCCGGGTTTGAAGTCTCGGGGCTTCATGGGTATTTCCAGTACCTAAGGAAGGTAGTGATAAAGAAGACAACTGCTGTGTCACCCTTCCATGTTTGTGAGGTGTTAGTGGAGTGGATGGCGCCACTTCGGGAGATTTTACCAATTAGACTTTTAGGACTAATTTGATCCTAGTTGGAGACTTGGAGTACACTTTTTGGTCGAACTTTCGTCGAATGAAATTCTGATTGTACCATTGCGTTCAGACAGTCAAACTCTACATGATGGTATAAGTTTTATTATTAATTGAAAAACTTTATAAATCACCTACTTTTAGGTCCTTCTCAATAAATAATTATTTATCAATTAATTAATTCTGATAGGCATATTTTCGCGACTTTACATTTCTCTCACCTTTAAAATAATTTTATCCTCGAAATTACCTGAATCATTGACTGAATAGATTCGGGTACTGGATCTTCATTGATTTTTCAGTTTCCCAAGTTCCTTCCTCATTTGAGTGATTCCTCCAAAGTACTTTGACAAGTGGAACAAACTTGTTTCTTAATTCCTTGATTTCAGTGCCAGAATTTGAACAAGTTTCTCTCAAGAATTCAAACATTCGTCAAGAGTTACAGTTCCATCGGTTAGGATATGTGATGGGTCACAACGATAACGCTTTAGCATTGACACATGGAATACATCGTGGATCTTACTCAGTTCTAGTGAAAGTTCTAACCGATAGGCGACTGGACCCACATGTTCAGTGGTTTGATAGGGTCCAATATACTTTGGGCTCAGTTTTCCCTTCCTACCAAATCGTAATACCTTATTTCATGGTGAAACTTTTAGACACACCATATCATCCACACAGTATTCAATCTCACGATGTTTTAAGTTGGCATAAGATTTATGCTGATTAGAAGCCACTCGCAATCTTTCCCTGATCAGACAAACTCTTTCTTTAGTTTCTCAAACTAGATCAGGTCCTTTAAGTTTTTGTTCACTTAATTTTGTCTAACAGACCGGGGTTCGGCAATCTCTCTCATACAGTGCTTCATATGGGGCTATCCGGATGCTCGCCTGATAACTGTTGTTATAAGCGAACTCCATTAATGGTAGGTATTATTCCAGTTGTTTCCAAAATCAATCACACATGCTCTCATCAAATCTTCTAAAATTTGAATTGTTCTTTCATCATATCACTACGTCAAAAATAGATGCTGACAACTGTTTCTTTTAGTTGTCTCTCGGTGCTGATTTCAGTAGTCTTCCGAGCAGCTGTCTGATATATTTACGGACTATTGTTTAAAAACAATTGTCTAAAATGGTTGACAACACCTGTTTTGTAATGTTTTAGAGTACCACTTTTTAGTGTTGTCCCCGTATGAGTAAGACATCTGTTTTTTAGAGTTAAAGAGAACTGTGATTTTTTGTTGTCTATCTATAATGAATACTACTGTTGTTTTTAACTTCAGACCCCTAATTCTTGGTATTGTCATTCAACAATATAGACAACTACTTTTAAAAGTAATTGAAAGATATATCAGACTGCTGCTCATCGGAAGACTACTAAATAAAAATAGGATCAGACAACTATTATTTTTTGTTGTATTTCTAGAATATGGATTACTAATTTTACTGTATTTTAAACAACCGTTTCTTTCAGTTTTATAGTGCTCAATAACACTACGCTCTTTTGTAGTTGTCCTTGAAATATTCAAACTATCATTTTACACACTAGTCAGATTATAAATCAGACTACTGCGTCGAAGACAACTAAGTATGTTTGCATAAACCAACTGCTATTATGTGTTGTATTTTTAAAATGTAAACAACCTTATTTGTTGTATTTCATACAACTGTTTGTTTAAATTGTCTAACGTTTATTAACAATACAGGTTTGTGTAGTCATCCTTCAATAATTTAGAAAACTGTTTAAATACATTGTAAAGCTTTTTGAAAGACTACTGTATTTTAATTTACAATTATATTTAATAATTAAAATTTATTTCAATTCTAAAATATTGATCATGAAACAAAAATAAATTCCAAAATGTACAATATATTGAATAATATCTAAATACATACAATCCAAAATCTTAATAGCATCCAATAATTTAATATTTACATAATTAAAATTACATTCTAGTTGTCCATTGAGCATGCCTAATTTAGTTATTTGGCCTCTCAATAACATCCAACATTGAACCATGGGAATACAGACCTTCAATTCTTGACGCAGTTGTGACCATGATAATCTGCAAGCGAAACATATACATGCCTATAGTGAGTTGAATCACCAAAAGATTAACCTAATAGAGGAAAGAAACAAAAAAGCTCACATGAAACCCCAGCTGATGGGCCAATTGTTTTGAAAAGAGACATTGCAGACGTTGAAAGGCAATGAAATTGACTTGCAAAAGCAATTAGAGTACATTCTAGACATTTGATTACTACCTCTTTTTATGTAACGCAATTAAAAGTCTATGCCCCTTCCGCATAAAAAGACAATGCACTATAGAAAATCTCATTTTGATGAAATTGACTTGCAGGAGCAATTAGAGTAAATGTGTGTAATCAAATGTTCCTGGTCCATGCTAAGCGATACATGTATCATATATATGTGAATCAAATGTATAAGGAGAGACTCACATTTGAGTTGCTATCAACTTTGATATCTGTGGTAATCTACTTGCTCTTAAGCTTAATATTAAGATCAGCCACAAATCAATCTCCTTTCTTTGACCACAAATCAATTTCCTTTCTTTGACCACAACGTGTGTACCTGTGCGATTTTGCTATTGCTCTAGCCTTTATTGTTTGGGCTGGTGTTTGCTTGGCTGTTTGAGGGCAATACTAATCAAATGGGGACTGTTTGAGGATTTATTCCTCTTTCTGGTGTAAATCTTGGGTGACTTTTCAGGAGTGTTTCTCTACAGGTGCTTGAGCTCCCCTAATCCTGGGGTGTATGAACCAACTTCTATGGCCGCAGACAAGACAGGTGAATCCAGGACTGATCTCACGTAGCAATGTTGGTATTGGCTCCAAAGTTTTCAGCTGTTTTCTTACATAGGCAGAGTGTTTTTTTAATGTTTTTTGTTTAGAGGCAAAATCCCTTCTTCTTTGAAAGCAAATCATCCTAAGTACACTGTTTCTTTCATCATCTCTTGATTGGTTTTAACAGAGATACAACAAGAATGTCAAGATTTGTGTTTTCCTATATAGGCTGGTTGATTTAATAATACATCATGAATATGTTGTTTATCATAAGAGATCAATTTATTCGAAATGCAATGCGCAAATGTTGATCCTTTGTCTGCCTGTTTTTTTCCTACTTGCTCCTTTGTCCCTTTTACCGTTTCACTATGCGTTCCGAAATAAGTTGAACAGAATGATGCTTTAGTCTTATATTTAGCATTTGTATAGTTTACATCTATCCTAACTTTTTACTTGTAACTCAAAACTTTAATATCAATCAAATGCCTTATGTGACTATAGATTTAACCTTCTATAAATTAAATGGTGTCAGAAATGGTAGAGCCGAGACAATTTGATGATGGCCATTTTCCATTGCTACCTTATAGGCCAGGTTTATGTTACTGATGCCGAGCTCTTTAGCTACTAATTGCTGGAGAGCAATTCTTTTTTGGTATGGATTATTTTGGAGAGGCTGCTAGCTATTAATTTACACTTTCCTTTCTCCTTAGAGTTAAGGATTTAAAAGTACGATCTTATAGAACAAATCCTCTTCAAGTAAGGTGTCTACTGATTTACATTTTGATTCCAATATTCTTCAATAAGGCTGCTCTATTACCTATTTAGTAAATGTTGCAGGTTGATCAATCTACAATTGCAACTCCAAGTGAAGTTGGCTAATGCTTATTTGATAGTTGCTGTTTCGCTGCGACATCTATTGCTCTTAGAACGTGATAAGAGACTAGAGCCAGAAAATTTTAATTATAGTGCTCTTGAAACATTCTAATTTATTGGTGTTTCTTTTTTTTTTTTGGTTACAAATGTCGCCTGTCTTTTGTACGAGCATATTGATGTTGTTCATTTCTTCTTTTTTCTCTTGTAGCCTAATTGGCGTTCGATTTAAAAAAAAAAGAAAACAAAGATGAAAGTATTAACTTTTTGGATGTTTCTTGTGCTGTGTTTTTTAAGGGTTTATTTACAATAATACAATATGTGTGCTAGTACTATTAAAATGAATATTTTAAAATAATATTAAAAAGAAGCTGACTTTACAGAGTGGATAAACGTGTGTTGTGTAAACTATAACATTTTTAAGTACGTTTACACTGTGGATAAATATCTAATGTGTATACTCTACGTTATTAAACATCTTACGTAGCGGATATTTATCCGTTGTGTAAACCATTACACAGCAGATAATTATCCGCCATGTAAAATATTACGCAGCGGATAATTTTCCGTTGTGTAAACATGATACCAATTGCACCGGTCACATACACAGCGGTTGGTTTGCATTGTGAAATACCAAATTTATCCGCTGTGTATTACCAATTCTGTAGTAGTGTTACTCTGAACCTTTAAAATAGTTTTAGGCTTAAGAATTAGACTACTGTTTAAAACGAATATTCTTAACTTGGAAAATAGTTCTAGGATTAATAATCTAACTACTGTTTAAAAAAGGTATTCTTAATTTATTATTAACAACTTGTAATAGTTACGGTTTTTATAAATTTTAAAAATAGTTCTACGCTATATAAATATATTACTGTTACAAGGAAGTCTTCTATTCTTGTAATAAACAACTATGCAAAACAAAACCATATGAAACATACAACTAACAATAAAATATTATTTTTTTATAAGTTTAAAAACAGTTATAAATTGAAAAACTAGACTACTGCTTAGAAATAGTAGTCTTAACTAATTATTGACAACTGTGGCAACAAAAACTGTATTTTTGGTAAAACAGACTACTAATAAAAGATTACCGTTTCTCAGAACTATAAAAACAGTTCTACCCTTAATTTATAGACTATTGTTACAAAAGAGTCTTCTATTCCCTTTAGAAACAACGATGGCAAAAAAATCATATGAAATAGACAACTAGCAATAGATAACTGTTTCTAATAAGTTTAAAAACAGTTTTAGACTAAAACACCAGAGTACTGTTTAGATAGAGTATTCTTAACTTGTTATTGACAACTGTTGTAACAAAAACTGTATTTTGAACTGACACAGACAACTAGTAATAGATTACCGTTTCTTGAAACTTTAAAAATAGTTTTAAAGTATAATAGCTAGACTACTGTTCTGTAGCCAAGAAAAACTCACAGTAGTCTGTTTTATTTAGCTACTGTGTTTCCATAAACAGTAGTTATTCAACAGTCGTCTGATACTGTTTTTGGCGTAGTGTATATGGCTAACTCATAATATTCATGAACAATATTATTTCAATACAAATACAACTTAAATTACATAAGAAACATTACAGATGCAACTACTCTAAATTTAATCTCCTAGGATTTGCAAACTCGCCGTAACTAGCCCCAGGACTGGGAAAGTTTTAGCAAACTCTAATTTGTCTAAAAGCTCATCAAGGAAGAAAGAAGAAATAAAAAGTTTCTCTGGCTGAAAGCCATAAAGTTCTACATCATTGCATCATCTAGAAATTTGAGTAGGTTATTGAAATAACCATCAATATTTAAGAGACCAATGAGTATACATACTATGCAACCCTTCAAACGCCCACGGGATTAGGGACGAGATTGCCGGAAGGATGTGATGGCTTTGAATTTATATTTCAAAATACATAAATTGATCATTTGTTATTGTGATGTGACATTTTTATTTACGCTTCTGTAACTTCAAATACTCTGTTACTATTCTGGATAACATATTTTCGGAAGGGACTGCAGAATTGGACGAATTTAGGGTGTTACATTGATGGTTTTAACTGTCTAACAGTCATTTTTTTCAAATATTTCAAACCTTATCCACACCCTATCCTATTTAACTTTTCTAAGGTTGTAAGGCCCCGTTCCGTTCAACTTATTTTTTCTTATTCTTATTAAAATCAGATCAGACCAGATCAGATCGAATCAGATCAGATCAGATCCAATCAGATCAGATCAGATCCAATTAGATCAGAGATCCCATCAAGAATTATTATTATTATTATTATTATTATTATTATTATTATTATTATTATTATTATTATTATTATTATTCATAAAAATAAGATAGAATAAACTTTGGAAATAAGTTAAATAGAAAACTGTGAAAGTAATCCTTAATTATTAGACGTCAAAAAAATTATTATTAAAATACATTGACAATGTCAATCTAATTTTTACTTTTAAAATACATTTTTATTGCTACCTGTAATTTGAGTTTCTAAAGTTTTGATCTTTAATTAATCAGATCAGATCCAATCAGATCAGACAAGATCAGATCAGATCCAATAAAATCTGATCAGATCAGATCCAATCAGATTAGATTTGATCTAATCAGATCAGATCAGAACTTATTAAAATCAGATCAGATCAGAAAAAATAAGTTGAACGGAAGGGACTGCAGACCTGGACGAATTTAGGGTGTTACATTGACGGTTTTAACTGTCTAACAGTCATTTTTTTCAAATATTTCAAACCTTATCCACACCCTATCCTATTTAACTTTTCTAAGGTTGTAAGTCCCTTATCAAGAACACCAAGAATAAATTCATACATTAATCCTTTGATTACGCAAAGATTTCTATTCAATTTTATCATCCACCAACTTAATTCTCAAGCATTTCTCCTAGAAAATTATATCAGTTGGGATTTGAAGGGCTAAAGTGTACGTGTCAGATCTTTGTGATCTATAGTAATTCGATCTTATTTGAAGAGTATTCTCCGATGTATGTGCACTTTATTTAATTTGTATATTTTTGAGTTGTAAAAACATGAATTTAAAATAATTCAAGTTTGGATAGAAATCCTAAGTCTTGCTTGTAAATTAAGACTTTGGTGAAAAGGTTAAAGACTTGTGAAATTAGTTCTAGAGTTGTAGGGCCTGTTTGGTAATAGCGTTAGAGATTAGCGTTAGCGTTTTGGATAAAATTTTAACGGTGCAGATTACTTTGAAAACGCTAATGCTAAACGCTGTCCGTAGATAGCATTTTCAAAACGCTAACGCTAATCGCTAAAGCTATTCCCAAACAGTCCTGTAATCAAATTTTCAAACTCCGTTAAGTTTGAAAAAATTAGTAGAATCTCGAGAACATTTGTTAGGGGATTGAACGTAGGCATTAGGTCGAACCAACATACATCATTATCTTGCACTTTACTTCATTTTTGCTGTGTTTTATTTCTTGGAGTGCTCTTGTGATTTTTTTGGCTTTGGCGAATATTATATTTTCTAAGTGTGAAGAACACCACTATTCACCCTCCATCTAGAGGTGTGCGTGGTGGTTAATTAAAAGATAAATCAACTAAGAAATATAAATAATAATTTGTCAAGTAATTATATTAAACCATAAAATCAATATATTCTATTTTGGAGGAGTTACGTTGACGCTGGCACTGGTTGACACTACAATACCACTCTAATTCGGGGCACATACGGTATGCTATTTGTAAAACTGATATTTCTTACCCATCTAATGCTCTCGTAAACCCCATCCCCTCAACTTGTTCAATTTCATTGATCCCCAAAATCTTGTTGACTTTGAGGTAAATAAAATAATTGACTTTGATGATAAAAAAATCGACTTCTAAGTCAATAAAATTTTGGAGATGAAATTAAAAGGGTTAGGGGAGTTTTTTCGGGTCGGGCGAGGGTGGGGTGGTTTACCGAGGGGTTAGAGGTAGGATTTATCAGTATAATTTTACGAACAGAGCATATTATGAGGGTGTTTCTTTGTGATGATGTTTATTGGCTTGTTCCTGATAAGCAGTTTTTGACTTATAAGCTGCTTATAAGTCAAATATTCTTTCATGGAAATAAAATGACTTAAATAATAGATAAGTCATTTGTAAATATTCATAAATGGTGAGAGACAGTTTTGTAAATAATTTGGTCAAAACGAAGAAACCCGAAAACTAGTTTAAAAATAAATAGCTAAGACCTGCTTATTTTTTCTGACTTATATGCCGCTTATAAGCATACAAAAACATGTCATTAGCTAGCTTATAACTTAAATACTACTTATAAGCAGTTTTAACAACCTTATAAGCATAAAAAACACCCACTATATACTTTAATTGGAGCTGACA